GGCCTCATCTTTCAACAGCTCATTCTGCTACAGGCCGGCAATTCGGTCTTCATGGAGACGGCCGAGGACGTGACGACCCCGGCCAGCCGGCTTGATTCATCGGGGCCCAGCAGCTGCGAAAACCCGTCTCGCCTCCTGTTCACTGACAGTGCTGCTGCTGAACCGGTGGCTTCCGGTGGCGTCTCCGGCGGCTCGTGCCAGCCTCAGCGAGAGCCCATCTTCACACAACCCTGGCGGGCCAGTATTAGGATCAGGAGTCCCGAGGTCGGCACGAGCAGACCTTCTACAGCCACGTCGTCTGGCCTGGCCGGCAGCGACCAGAGGCTGATCAACGTTTGGCGAATGTGGAAGCACTACCTCATCATCAGTCACTTCATTGGCCAGCCCCGAGGGCCGCCTCTTCGACCTTCCGCGGCCAGCCTCGGCCGGCTCGCCCGACTGGGGTCGGAGTCTGGGCCTCTCTGTCGAAACGGGCGAATGAGGAGACCGCCCGAAGGGGGCTCCTGCAATGGCGAGTTGCCTGGGGAAATAGGGGAGTCGAGGGTCGATGTGGACCACTGCTGCCAGACGCAAGCCGACTCTTCGTCCAAGCCGCAGTGGTGCCGAGGATCGACGACGTAAGTTGCAACAGATCGCATTCACCGGCCTCTACAGCAGGGCATCGTCGGGTGGGCAAGCTGAGGCCAATCTGTGTGTTGTACCACTTCTGATCGACTCTTAGGATGATCCATAATGGACTGGATTGAAGGCAAGGCCGTAATTTCAACGGAAAAATCGGTTTCCACTCAAGCATCTCAGTTGCTTAGGATGTAGTAAAGTCGGATAGTACAGTTTTTCATGAGATTAAATTGGCTGGCCTTGCGATGCCACTCGACTTCCCCTAACCTTAGATATTAAGAAGTGGTACAACCTCGCTTTCGTAACTTGGTCTTGTTTCCGGCATGAACGCACCTTTCCTGAAGTCCTTTGCCAGAGTAGTCGGCTAATTCATAGCGTTGGACCGTGAATTTGTTACCTTCTCAGACGTTTCGCCTGCATCGTAGTCGGCCTCATCAGTTAGTCCTGCTATTCTTGGCACCAAACTACAATTCGTCAAAGAGACAAGTCCACATCCAGCGTCAGACACTTAAAGTTATCAGAACCACTTTGGCAGAGTACTTTAGACAAGCTAAAACCATTTATCTTAACCTTGCCTCCATAAGCTTTTCTAATCCGAGCTTGACGAGTGTCTTGCGCAAAATGGCGACAAATTACCACTTTGATCGACATCCACAAGGGTCAGTGGATCATAGGACAGCCAGGTCAGGTCTCTCCTAAATTGCATGCTTCTACTTGGATTGTCGATATGACCAACATGTATTTAACTTCAATGTCAGTAGCTTTCGAGATTTTCACTCATTCTTGACTGAGAACTCAGCTAGCCTAGACCGGTCAAGGTAATTCGAGGATTGATAGTAGAATTTTCTCACAACCAATTGAATCGGCCTTATGCTTGCATTGAACTATAAATACAAAGAGTAATTGGGTTTCGATGAATCTCCTGAGATCGCATTGTTAGGGAGAGGAGGTTCGAAGGTTGATCTCACCAGAAGACGACGGCTGAATCCCGTTGTACTGCAGTCGTTCGGTTTTAATGCCACGTTCAGGTTGACGCAGTCCTTCGAAGCCAAGATGCCATTACATTTCACCTAAATTTGCCTCCAATAATCGAAGGTATGAATACCAAGATGGTGTGGCCTTTTGTGTGGTCGCAGTCTCCTTTCGTTGTATAGAGGTTGTTCGACCTTGTTTTCGCAACATGGTCATATTGGTAGGAAGACTTATTGGAACGCACCTAGTCCGTGGTCCATTGCCTGCATGATCATTTCCAAAGTTGAACCGTGGACGTGGTACATTCTCATGATAAGTAGACGTGGTACGTGGAAATGTATTACGTCCACGGTTCAACTTTGGAAATGACCAAGTTGCGAAAATAAGGTATAATTATATACATATCGACATCAGCCGAAGGCCGCATCATCTTTTTTATATTATCGGTCCTACTCATAACTGCGACTGCTCTTCTTTTGTGTGTCTTCAAAACTATTTGCTCGTGTTGTCTAAGCTTCGTTGTGATATTAATAACCCACCTATTATTTGGTGCCTCTACATGGTTATTAATTACAGGAACAACCTGTATTTCACTCTCACTTCCAGTTTCTTCTGTTAATCGGTCGGTAAAGTTAAAAACCACTATTAAAACCTTTTCCTTGAAGCTCTTACTATTTGGGAAAGCATAATTAAGACGTCTAGATACAGCTTCCTCAGTAGTACTATCCAATGGTGTTTTGGACAGGTTAACCACGTTCCGACCTATCTTCATTTTCTCTTTTCCTCTGGTTGAATTCAGATTGTTATGTAAAGATCGAATTCTAATTCCCAGGTATGAAGACCAAGATGGTGTGGCCTTTTCTGTGGTCGCAGTCTCCTTTCGTTGTATAGAGGTTGTTCGACCTTGTTTTCGCAACATGGTCATATTGGTAGGAAGACCTATTGGAACGCACCTGGTCCGGGATCCATTGTCTGCAGACAATAAGTCTTCCTACCAATATGCCTCGAAAAAGTTTATCTCATCCAAAGTACTTTCGAGGCTATCAGCAATATTTGAATAATAACTTAGCCAGCTTGCATCGCATAAAGCGATGTAGTAGTCTTAAAAACTAATCATATCAACATTACAACAAATTGAACTTCGCTGCAAACACAAGGCTCGGGGTCAGACCTGTTGTGAGGACTGCACTAAATATAGTCGAATTTGGTATACCTCGACCTCGGCAGCATGACTGGCCTGGGAAGTATATTAAGTAATAAAATCTGTATTACATCTGATTTTACTCAGTTCTCGCGTGTTTATTTGGTGGCTGCAGCAAATCTGCGCACACAATGAAGCAAATTTGGCAGTTCGACTGCGATTTACACCCAATTCTGCCAGTTGCTAAGTGTACCAGTCTGTCCCGAAGAGGTGTTTGTTTTTTTCACACCCTGGCATTTGTTAGGACTCGAATTTTACTCCGTATTTTGAGAAGACCTAAATTTAGAATGTTCACTCCACCTGAGACTCCTTTGCTTCTTCTCTTGAATGTGGCTGGGTCCGTAGTGCTTAGGGGGTAACGAGTTGGCCTCTTGACATGCTCGTTGAAAAGTCAAGTCCCACTGGTGGGTGGATCGTTGGGGGTGACGAGGCGAGTTAGAAACAGCAGTTTAACTGGCCAAATAACGGCTTTTTGATATACGAGCTACAGTAAAATTCAACGCTAACATCTCGAATTCTCTTCAGTTCATCTCGATCAGATTCTATCAATCCGGCATTGAGCCGATCTAATGGGTAATTCACTACAAAACGCAGCCTCTTTATAGCCTCGAAAGACAAAAGTGCTACTGAATGCCTTTTTGGGGCGACTTTCATTTCGTATACAAGTGCATGATGAAGAAATGTGAAGGCTGAATCGCAAAGTATTGCAACTGTTTTGCTTTGATGCTTACATTTTCGCCTTTAGTTATGAGTATATATAAGAGATAAGATAGAGCCGGACACTCTTCTTGATATGGGGCTATCTTGACACTTTTACAAAAATTAGTTCCAGTTTTGATGATGTCCATCAAATGATGGACGAAAATTCAGCCTGTTTTTATTCGAAGCGACGTAGGATGTCTCGTGGATTGCATCAATCCGTATGTTGTTATAAAGCTATTTCACTTTCATATGAAATGAAAGTATACCCATTATTGTTATTTTCAGAGACCCATCGAAACCCAGTTGCTTTTCGTATCCACTAAAGATATGTAGATTGTTGGTTCATTGCTGTGGTTATTTTCATTTGAAGTGAAAGGGCCTGATGAAGAGATTCATTGGTCGATGTAATCAGAAGACGACAGCAGATTCCTGTTGCTCTTCGGTCGTTTGGTGTTAGTATGACGTTCAGGTTGACGCAATCCACGAGTCATCCTTCGTCAGTTTCGGTGAAAATAGGTTGGGCTTTGGTCTGTAATGCCACTTGACAGATATTGTAATAACTAAATCAAATTCTTGGAAATACTTCAAGTTGACCCCACGTCTATGCATACTCACGACATCAGCACAGCAGAACTGAACAAAAGGACATGTTGAATGATTTGGTTAGTTCCTTATAGTGTCAATCTCCGCAAGTCTAGATTTGGGTATGTGTGTTTATTTAAAGCACTCTTCATAAGATGAAGGAATGATAGTTGGCTTTTCCTACAATGATGTGAGTAAGCCGCTTGTTTTCATTAATATAATAGGTCAAGGCTTAATCTACTTTTAAAAAAGCAATTCATATCTCATTTTATTCCATTCCTTTGGTGTTTGTCGTGAGTATGTAAGCATTTGTGCAAGAGCCGGTAAGCTTTTTTGGCGTTTATGTATACAAGAGACATAGACCTAACTACCGTTTGATGTGACGAACGAAAGATCACCCCGTCGTTACCGAAACCAAAGGAGGACTATCTCAACTTGAACGTCACAGTAATTTGAAATTAAGGCATTACAACAGGAATCTGATGTCATCTTCACGTGATATTCTCTACCAGACACTGTAAAATGTAATAAAAGTCACCACAACATTTGTCGTAGGAATTTCATTTAAAACTAGTTTAACTTCGTTATTTTGGAGTTATTTCTCCTCGAATACTTCGTTTTGGCCATTTGGTCTGCCTATAGCCCAGCAAATCCATAACTATAGCTAAATAAACCTTTATTCGTCTGTGAAAGTGTGTGGTGAATAAAATCGTGGGGTGAGCACACCTAAAGACAGCGAATCTATTCATCACACTTTACCTTCAGCACAGCAATGATAGCTGAGAAGCTTACGGTGCATAATATTACTACATCTACCATTTAGGATGTATGTGAATTACTTTTTCTGTTTTATTTAACTGAATTTGGCCTGGCTGCGTTTGAACATTCGCTTTAACTATCCGAAACGCTGGAGCTGTTTTGAGCTCAGTCGGCAATAAAACTTTTGGTGTGTCCACGAGACGTGGCATATTCTTGCCAGATTGCACTATCTTGGCAAAAACGCCATTATTATTGTATTCTACAGGTTGACTACTATTTAAAAATCAGTTTGTTTACCTTTAGTTGGATTGCGGTGATTTCCATGGCTAATTGTAAGAATGAATGGAAAGGCACCACATAGTTGTGGATCGAGGTTTAGCCTCCTTAGCTATTCTCGTAAACAATGTAAGCGGAGATTTGCTCCAGGTTATCTGTAGCACACATTTGTGTACCAACCAACGCTCGCCACTTCTTTGTGTTTTTCTGTCAACCTAACTTGCCTACTTTATGGGTTTGTTATCAGCCCGGCTGCAATTGGTGTGCCGCATCTTTTATATCACTCTATGAATATGAGCATTGTCTTGGTTGCCATATTGCAGGCGAGCTCATTCCTGCTCATTCCTAGATCACTATCTACCTCTGTTTGTCTGCACATCCTTGCATGTTCACATATGTGTATACGCGTTTACATATACTTTTATACTTATATATATAAAAGAAAAAAAAACACTTAAATTTGTGTGTTCATCAATATAGGTTACTACGTATGCTTTTTTTATGCATGCAT